AGTCACCGGCGACGGCGTAGGCTGCAGTGGGTTGCCATGGGCTACCGTGAGTGGTTGGCAGCCGGCATGAGTGGCCGGCAGCCAGCGTGAGCTGCCAAGAGCTGCTGTGAGCAGCCGTCCAGTGGCCGGAGACCAATCTGCCTCATTCGGGAAGAGTGCAATGATAATACCAACATGGGCCAGTGAAGCGACGTCCTCCACAATTAGACTGAAGAACAAAAGAACAGCAACTTGTCTGTTCCCCTCCTCCAATTCCCCAATAAAATCTTTAAAACAAACAAACAAAAAACCCAGTAAAAACTCTGGACAGCAAGGCAGGTAGTTCCAGGTCAATTAATTAATCGAAGTACTGGGAGAGTGGTGTATCCTGATTCCCAGGGGGCAGAACTAATATAGGGAAGGGACATGAGGATTATTGTTACAAAAGAAGGAAGCAGGAGGTTGGATTCCAAGCCTTGTGCTACCAGACACAGAACTCAGTCACACAGAACAGACCACCTGAAGCCTACTGGGCAAAGAGATTCCATTATAATGTCCACTCCCATAATTAAACCTATTACAAACTAGCCAAGGCTGTACCTTACAAAAGTTACAGATCAACTTGCCCCTATTCTTCTTGTACCTTGTAGAAGTTCAAGTTAAAGTTACCATTGTTCTCTCCTCCTTTTCCCCATATGAAGACATCTGCAGAAACACACATAAACCCTACCCCGAGAGCTGGAGGGGTCTCTCTTCCGCTAGTGACTAGACTTCGTCTGTGGGGTGGCCTTTTTTTACTCTCTGCTAAATAAGCTTTCACTTTAAACTCTATTGGCTCATGTCTAAATTCTTTCCTACCTGAAGCCAAGAACCTCCTTCGCGCAGGGCTTGAGTCCCCACTCTGGTGGATTCGCTCTGCTGGCTTCAAAACTCTGGCCCTTGGGACCCTTCCAGACTATGCACCCTTCATCTGGCTGTTCCCCTGTATCCTTTATCATAAACTGGTAAAAGTATAGTGCTTTGCAGAGTTCTAGAAGTCATTCTCGAGAATTATTAAATCTGAGAGGAGGTCATGGGAACCCCTGAATTTGTGGCTGGGTTGGACAGAGGTCTGGGTAGCCTGGGGGGCTAGGACGAGTCTGACATCTACAGTGGGGGCAGTCTTGTGGGACTGTGCCCTTTAACTGGGGCCTGCGCTAACTCCGGGTAGGTCGTGTCAGAAATAAATGAAACCACTGGACATCCATTGGGCTGATGCCAGAGAATTGGTGTTGGGACATAATATGTAAATTTGTTTTGGGCTTATGTGTTTGTAAGAGCTACAGGCATAGAGAATCTATGCACAGTTTAGGGTTTGCCCACATTTAGCGGACAGTATCAAAATAATTTAAGCTAAAGGTTTAAGATGCTTTTTCCTTTAACACTGGTCTGTGCATCGTTCGACTCTGAGGAACCCTGGAGAATAAAATCATGCCAAGCACCTTTATGAGCCAGGCACTGTTTAATGTCGTTCATTTCATCCCCAAAGAAGCCATACCCCTTACGGCCACTTATCAAGCTCACCTTGTCTTGTTTCTATTCTGGTAAATCAGAACTTTAAAGAAACTCTCATTGGGGTCAGGCAATTCAGAAAGGTGTCTTTGGGGGAGACATTCATAGATTTTCACCGTTTGACCAAACAGATGGAGATCTAGTGAGTTTCTGGGAAAATAAGCAGCAATGAATGTTCCTAAGCCTGACTGTTCTCACCACTACCTACTGCATCGGGAGGAAGGTTCGGGGATCACGCTGTTTATCCTTCCGATGCCTGTGCCACAGAAGGGCTATCAGCCTTGTCAGCGACTATCTCATCTACCCAGGCAAGTTTCCTTTTCATCTGAGAGCAACAGCCAAGATTCCGGAGGGCCAGGCCAGATCTATGAGCCACCCACCCTCGCCGCACACAGCCATCATTTCACCCCAGGTGCTTCCAGCACACCTGCTGCCTCCTCCAGCGCTTGGCTTGAATGATGCCCAAGCTAAGCCACACAGGACTGCATTCGATCGACTCCCTGAAATAAAAGCGTTTCCACTTCAGGAGGATTTCTGACCATATAAAGGTAGCTATCTGCTTGTCCCTATGGTATAGCAACATACAAGTGACTCCGTCACCTAGTGCAGAAGGACCCACAGAAAACATGTCTGTGATGTGCCGTCAGCAGAAGAAATCCCGTTAGCGCGCCCCAATTTTCAGTCTTCTTGAAATAGGGTTTCCTTCTGAGTAAGAGCAAAACATGGGTTTTCTAAAACCGTCATACCTGATTCCTCTCCAGGTGGAAGGAGGGTACATTTTGGGGGAGATTTCATTGTTTTTCCCAGATCGGTAGGCTCGAAATAAACAGATACACAGTAGCTTGTGTTTGGAATTAAGTTGTCGATGACGTAAGTGAAATTTTCAGTGATGGTTTTTGCATTCATTTGCAGTTTATGCTGTCAAAATAAGCAAAAAAAAAAAAATCAGTAAAACTTTTGAGTAGAATTTCATTTAGAGGCAGACCCAAAGAATATCTTTGGGGATTCGTCTTCAAATCTTAAATAGGGATAGAAATATCACAGGCTTGGCAAGAAAAAGTATTTACAAGTCAGTTGCTGAAAGCAATTTATCACAAAACTACATATACGTGGACACACATACATTTTAATCCACGGAATCTCATCTAGCAACTTCATTTTACAATTGAGGAAAAAAAGTCCCAATGAGGAATAAAGGTCTCCATGAAGTCATTGTTTGCAAGCTTATCTTGCAACAAGATAAGCTTGCAAAAATAAGAACATAAGATTATCTTATTTTATTAATGGTAATGTGTCTACATTTCAGAAAGTGCTTTCATGCATATTAACTCATTGGACTATCAAAACAATCTGCAAAGTAGGTATGATTCCCATTCTCCAGCCAAGGGAACTGCAGCTCAGAGTGGTTAAGTACTTTCCTCAAGGCTACACAGCTTGTCTGTGGCAGAAGTGAGGCTGATGTCTAGTTCCCTGTCTCCTCCCTTAAAACACCTTGCCTCTTCTTTCCCAGGTAGTTCTGTTCCATTTTGGAATGGAAGAGCTGATATGAAGGCTCCTTCATGAAAAATAACTTTTGTATAATGCCTTCCAGCTTTCAAAGTATAGTCTTACTAGTAGTTCTATAAATTAGGATTTCTGGCAGTTCAAATACAGCCTTCCGTAATAACGTTTTTCTTCAAGTTTCTATTTGGAAGGCAGGAGAATTATTTAAAAACAAACCAACAAACTAAAAGCTCATTCATGGCGAATAAGCAGTGAAGACGACAAAGAGGAGAGAGGCATAAACAGCATCATGGCGGGAGGGCTCTTGCCTTGCAGTGAATAGTTTAAGGGTAGCTGAGCATCGCAACATCTAGGCGCCACACCTGGCGTTGCCATCGTGTGATCCTGATTAAGTCTGCAATGCCTGCTCCCTCCTATATCCCGTGTGCCTCAGTCGGCCTCCCCCATGACTCAGGTGCACAGTCCCTGCTCCCAGCCATGGCCAACCCCCTCTCATGCTCACGATATTCCATTCACTGTCATCTCTTCTGGGACACTGCTCCAACAGCCCCCACTGGAACATTCTATCTATAATTTCTCCCATCTTAAAAATTCCCTCCCTTGACCCCCTTTCCCCTCCAGCTACCATAACATCTCTCTCCTTCCCCTTATAGAAAAACTCCTCAGAGGAATTAGCTCTACTCACTCTCTAAAGTCTCTCTTCCTTCTCTTGCTTGAATCCAGCCCCACCAGGTCTTTACTCCACCAAAACCACTCTTATCAAGGTCACCGTGACTTCCATGAGCCTAAATCCAATACCCAATTCATAATCCTCTTCTAACTTGTCCTGTTTATAGCACTTGACTCAGCGGATCTCTTTCTCCTTCCGGAACTCTCTTCTCTCATCTACCAGGACATCACTGCCACCTACTTCTCCTCCCACCATACTGGTTGTTCCTTCTCAGTCTCTTTGGCTGTTTCCTCCTCATTTGCTAGATCTCTACATTTTGGAGTCCTCCAGGGCTCTGTCCTTGGATGTCTTCTCTTCTCTATGCATGACCACCTCCAGGTGATCTCACTTGGTCTCAAGACTTTCAGGACATACCAAGAAGCCAACGCTCCCCAGAACATCTCTCGGGGCAGGACCGCTCCCCTGAACTCCAGACCTAGTACATTCGACTCCTGCTCAGTATCCCCCCGAATGCCTTCTAGGTACCTCAAATGGAACATGTCTAAGAATGAGCGACTGACATCCAACCTATCCAGCAGCTCTGTCCATAGTCTTCACCATTTTAATGAATGGCAGCTCTGTCTATCCATCCAGGTGCTCATGCTGAAAGTGTCGGGAGTCCTAACTTCTCTCTTTCCTCACCATGTGCACATCAGTTCATCTGAAAATACTGTTGGTGTCACTTGCAAAATATATGCAGAATCTGACAGTTTCTTATTACTGCCAAGTGGTCTAAGCCACCACTGTCTGTCACCTACATAACACCAGCTTTTTTTTTTTCCTGATCTAATTTAATTTAAAAACTAATTTTCTTTAATGAAGATGCTTATGAATGATAGCTTTCCTCTTACAGTGTTGTCAATATCCTAATAAGCATAGGTGTCTTATTTTAGAAATAATCTAAAATAGAGTTAGTAGCTCATGGATGGAATATAAATTAGACATGACTGGAATATGATAATGAACGAAACCTGATACAGTCTCTAAGCTACATAAGCTTAGTGTTTCCTTTGTTATTTTTGTTCCCTTTTCCTAATCACAGGATTAGGGTGTTGGTTATAATCCAGGTGAATATTAAAGAAAATATTGTAATAATTATATAATTTGCTAATTCCTATTAAGAAGTTACCAGTCTCTTAACTGGTCTCTCAAATTCCGCCTTTGGCCCCTTCGGTCTATTCTTAACAGCACCAGGATGCCCTGTTAAGGCCTTGGGTCTTCTAGTGGCTTCCATCATACTCCAAAGACTCAGATCCACAAGGCCCTACAAGATCCAGCTCCCTTACCTCCCTGACGTCATCTCCCTCAATTCTCTTGTCTCGGTCACTCCATTCCAGCTCCCTGCTTCTCAAACCCACTGGGACCACTCCAGCCTCAGGACCTCTGACTCCCTGTGCCCTCTGCCTGAAATGCCCCTGCCCCTGATAGTTGGTGGGCTGGCATTACCTGCAAAGCTTTTATAATTGGCCAAGGGCTATGCAAACATAAGCTGGTATTTCAGCAAGGCCCACCAGCAAGCACAGTTTGTCCGTTTTCACTCATTCCAGCTTTCTAAGTGAGCGAATAACATAAGATCCAGGTCTGTCTAATGCCAGATCACCCCGAGGTGACTGACATTGAGTTAGGTCTTTCGGGGAAGTCAGGAGGGAACAGAATTGCCAGAAAGAGCCATTTCCCTTACAATGCATGAGGGCTGGACTGGTAGACACAGATGCTTTTTACATGCGGCTAAACCATCCCTTTGAAAGCAAATCTCACCCTGACATGCTGAAATATGCCTGTTCTTCCCGTCTACACCACACACCTCTCTCTCTTCTGTTGTGTTCCTTGATGTTGTGACTTATTCTCTGAAAGAAGACCACGCAGGTGGGCTAAGTCAACGTATTTCCAAAGTGAATGCACTATGGAGACTTCTCTCCTGAAATCGGACACGCTGACCCAGACCCTTGTTTTAATTGCTCAAATCATTACAAATGTCTTTTTTTTTTTAAGAGAGTCCAATGTATTATTCATTGCCAACGCAGAACTGTTTTGACCACTTACCTTCTTAACAATTTCTCCTGACTCTTCTTCGATGACAAGTGATAAGTAAAAATGTAATTCTTCCCCACGTAGTATCTTGGGTATGTCGGGCGGAAATTTCACTCTCACTTTAATGTGGTCAGTAAAACGAATAATCTCAAAGTTTGGTGGTTCCAAAGACACTGTTCAGAAAACAAAGTCAAAAACAAACCCCAGGGTCACTCAATGATGGTTCCCATTGTCATGATACCACCTTACTTCTTCCCAGCTATCTTCCTATTACTCTGCCTATGGCCCTAGCTGAGGCATGGGCTCTATGTTTTTATTGGTGAAAAACTGGGAACAATTAAAGTGAAGTGATTTGCTTAACATTACCACAAGAAATGGAAGATCGATTTTGGGATGCAAGTCAGTACTTCCCCAATTTTCAGGCTGTAGTCTAAACACAAAAGTAAAAATGACTTCTTCTGCCCATATTATAATAACACATAACCATTGTAGAAGTATCAGAAAATACAGATAGACAATTAATTGTTCCTGAATGTGGTTAATCATCTTTTGTCCATGCTGTATGTATGTAGGCATATATAAATTGAACTAGTGTATATATATACACACACATACATATACATATACCTAAACTAAAATGAAATCATTCTTACACACACTGTTTTGCATAGAATATATTTTCACTTATTTCATAAACATATTAATATGTACTTATCTACATCAAGGACTGGCAAACTATGGATGGCTTGTGGGTTGAGTTTCTGCACAGCCTCCAAGTTCAGAATGGTTTTTATTTTTGAAACAGTTGTAAACAAATGAATATGTGACAGAGACCATATGTGGCCCATAAAGTGTAAGGCATTTTTTTTTTCTCTGGCCCTTCACAGAAAGTTGGCTGACCCCTGATCTTCCTCATAAATTTTCATGGCTAATTCTATTCTGCTGAGTGGGTGTACCATGATTTCACTAATTCACTGTTTTGAACATTTAGATTGACTCTTAATTTTTCTGAATAGAATCTTGTGTCTTCTTGAGTATTCTTGGAGCTAAATCTCTGCATTTGTCCATAGTTTCTTTAGGACAAGTTAGTAAAGAGAAAATCTGGATGACAGCAGACACGTGTTAAGGTTTTTAATACTTGCTGCCAAATACCTTCAGAAAGACTGTGCCCAAGCACACTCCCAATGTTTCCTCAAATCTGGGCATTTGCATATCTCTAATATCTGCCATTTTGAGTCTTAAAAAATGATATCGCATTATTGTTTTAATATACCTTCTGTGAAGGTCTGAATACCATGATCTATAAATTGTGCTTTTCTTTCTTTTCTATGTGGACACACAGATACGTCTATTTACACACACACCGACACACACAAATAATTCCAGTGAATGTCATAAGTCTCTAAGTTGTTTGCTAAATTGGGATCAGCTGTCATTATCACTTTGTCGGTGGGAATACGCACCCACACAGCCTTTAACAGGAAGCTAACACCCAATCTTTTTTTTGGAAACAGGTTACATATTAGGACACTGAAAAAGTGACGGGGTGTGGCTGAGGGCCAGTGACAACCTCTCTGGTGCAGTTAACACAGGTGCCATAGGAAGCTGACTCTGGTCACGGAGAAAGAGAAAAGGGCAGACCCACTTGGGCTCCAGTCTTCTCTGAGTCTGGGCCCCATGTGCACGCACAGCTGGGCCTTTATTGTAAAACAGCTACTGGGTTATGATCTGGGGGAGGGGTTGCAGTGTTAAGGAAAACACTGGCCCAAAGAGTTGTCACAACTCAGATAACCGGCCATGGGAACCTTACTCCCCACGACCCGTCATGCTGTAAAACAAACCAATCAGTGGTAGCTGCTACCGCCTGAATATCTGCCTTCTACAGACATTGACTAACCATTGACTAACCATCGCTCCACTTTCTGGACCAGAAAACTGAGGCTCAGAGAAACAAAGTAGCTACTCCACAGTTACGGAGGTAGGAAGTCAGAGGGCCAGGAAGTGAACCTAGCCTGGAGTCTGAAACACCTCTGCAGGCCTGCCTACTTCATGGCAGAGAAAAGGATGATGATCTTGATGGAAAGGGTGGAGATGATAAACAGAGACCCACTTACTGTTCAGCGGTGGGAAGATGGAGCCCGAGCAATTGACCAGCGTTGCGTTCCCTCGGGACCCAACGAGTCTGGGGATGTAATTCTCGGACATGTTTTCCCACACATCTGTTAGGTCACAAAATGATCCCGTGATATTTGCACAGTCCTTAACAGCCTTCATATCATCTTGTTTACTTTGAAAGGAAAAGAAATGGTAAAAGGAAAACTTTAGCATTTATGTGATAAGAATGTATTAACTCCATGCCCCACTTCCTCATTCCTTCGTGATTCTGCTCAAATATCAACATACTGAGTCATCTGGCCTAAGCAACTCATAGAAAATGGAACTCCTGAGGCCGGCCGAGTGGCTCAGTTGGTTGAGAGTTGGCTTAACAGTGCGGGCTCTGAGCAACAGGGCCGCCGGTTCGATTCCCACATGGGCTAGTGACGCTGTACCCAAACTGAGCTGTTGCTGAGCTGCTAACAGGTGGCAGGATGGCTCAGGTGGTGTAGCAACAAGATTGCCTGTTTGATGGTGGGCTATGCCCACCCGCAACTAAGACTCAACTCAGCACCTTGAGCTTAGAGGCCACGAGCTGCCGACGGGAAGCCAGATGGCGACTGGCACCCTGCACAACGAAGATTGAAGAACAACAACTTGGCTGTTCCCCTCTCCCAGTTCCCCAATAAAATCTTAAAAAAAAAGAAAACGGAAGTCCTTACCCCGTCTTGTGCACCCCCTCTCCGCGGACCCCCTTCTCTATTTTTATTCACACCATTTACCACCACCTGCCACATTTTATAATATCTTTGTTTATTGACGTCTGTGCCTACTTTCAGAATGTTTGCACCAGTTAGGCAGGGACTTGGGTTCACAGTTGGACCTCCTGGCATGTAGCAGGTGTTCAGTAAATATCTGCTGGATGAATGAATGTGCAAACCTTGGGCTTTCCTGGTAGAAGCCCCAGACCTCAGGGAGAATGACTGCCCTCCCGGAGGCCCCCTCTCTCCTGCTGAGGACTACTCAGTCCAGTCCTAAGTCAGCCTGTGCAACACAGGGACAACATGGACATCTGACTTCTTGAGCTTCAGAAAGGTAGGTGGGCGATACATGTGACTGCCTACTGCAGAGAGAAACTTAAGTCTCAGTAGGGACCAAGGAGAAACTCGCCAAAGGCCCTCTGCCATGTCGGTTGGCAGTAGTAACAGCTGTAAGCCAATAAACAATGAACGGGGCACTCTGAGGAGTGCCAGCGGTTCTCAACCTGTGGGTTGCGACCCCTTTGGGGGTCGAACGACCCTTTCACAGGGGTCGCCTAAGATCATCGGAAAACAAAAAGATATTTACATTACGATTCATAACAGTAGCAAAATTACAGTTATAGAGTAGCAACGAAAATAATTTTATGGTTGGGGGTCACCACAACATGAGGAACTGTATTAAGGGGTCGCGGTATTAGGAAGGCTGAGAACCGCTGTACTAGACCAAAACGATGACTTAGGAAGATGACTGTTGCGCGAGGCTCTGTCCATTATATCACTCATCCTTGCAGCAACCCCTAAGTAGAAGGATTAGCTCAGAGAGGCTGCATTCCATGCCCAGAGTCACAGCTGGTTAGTGACCAAGCTGGACTTTGGACTCGAGCCTTTTCTAGTTGGGGCCAGGCAACTTTTGGGTGTGCATGTGCCTCCCTGAGCAATGAAAAGTGAACACACACCAACAGTATGGTCACCAGAACTCCTGTCCTCAGAAAACATACTACTTTTGCACATTCAGACTTACTAAATTAGAGAAATAATTGTGAAAGCCATACACAATAATTATTTTGCTTCTGAGACTTTGACCTGTAGAAACTGGCTTTGGTTATAAATATGAGCTTTATCAAAAATAGCTTTGAATTGCTATTCAATTTAATTAAAAGTGGATTTGTGTTTTGTCTTTGGACTTTTAAAGCTCTGAATGAGAGAGAGTGAGAGACACTGTCACAAGGTCACCTTTTCCCCACTCCCACATAATCAATTTACTGATGAATCTAAGAGTTGTTAATTTTTAGTTGCTTCAGCTTTTCTCCTGTTGTGAGATGGGGAGTGACAACTTCTAAGTTCTTTACCTCTTAAAGCAGATTGCATTTGTTTTTAAACATCTTTTTCTTGATTATATAAGGAAACCTATTTGCTTAGAAAAGTTGGAAAGTAAAAAGAAAATAAAAATCACCTATTATTAATTGCCTAATCTGCAATTAACCATAGTTAACATTTTGATGTATTGGATTGTCGGAAAAGTCATGACGTATTTTGTCTCTGTTTTTGAAAGGTCATTTATTTATATAAAGAACAAAGATCAATCAATGATATATTGCCTGTTTTGTTCGATAACCTTTTGCCATCTTTCAGTGAGCTTCATAATTCCTCGTTCATAGAAGAACCTGTCTTTATTGGCGAAAAACTGAACAAGGTGCTGATTTACAGCCTCATTTGAATTGAACGTTACACCACGCAAGGAGTTTTGAAGAGAGCGAAACAAGGGGAAGTCTGACGGCGCAAGGTCAGGCGAGTATGGTGGGTGTGGTAACACATCCCATCCAAGCTCCAATAATTTTTGACAGGTGATCAAAATTGTGTGTGGTCTCACGTTGTTGCGATGGAACACAACTCCTTTACAAGCTCTGGACATTTCTGGTTGATGGATTCGTTCAAACTGTCCAATTGCCAACAGTACACATTCAAATTGTTTGGTTCCTTGGTAGGATCCAAACAATCAGGTAGGAGCTCAAAAAACATGACAACTTTAAAATCTCACCACACCGAAAGCATAACCTTCCTCTGATGAATGTCTGCTTTTGATGTCGTTTGAGGCGAATCATCATGTCGGGACCAAGACAGTTTGCACACCACATTGTTGTAAACAATCCACTTCTCAACACCAGTTATCAGTCGTTTCAAAAAAGGATCCTGTTCCTCACGTTTAGTGAGCATATTGCAGATGCTTATATGCGCCGTCAAATGAACTTCTTTGAGTTCATTTGGAACCCAAATATCGAGCTTCCTTATGTATCCCAGCTTCTTTAGGTGGTCGTGAATGCTTGAATGATGGATGTTCAATGTTTCTGCAATCTCTCGTGTCGTGTAACGTGGGTTTGACTCGATCAATGCCTTTATTTTGTCAGCATCAACCTCGGTGGGCCTCCCTGACCAAGGAGTGTCATTGAGATCAAAATCACCAGCACAGAATTTCGTGAACCATTGTTGGCGTTCTTGTAGAGCATTGTCACCTTAAACTTTATGCAACTTTTCACAAGCTTGATGTGCGTTCTTCCCTTTATGGAAGTAAAACAGTAAAATATCGCGAAAATGCACAGTATGGTCTTCCATCTTCAACTTGTTGTAAAAATCTCCAAAACTCAACCAAATCGCTCCATTTTTTTTTTAGAATGAAGCTAGAACTGTCAGCTGTCAAATGACATAGCAATAACATAGATGCGAATGACTCTAGTACTTCCAAAAATGAACTGGTGCCATCTGTCGCAAACATGCGTCATGACTTTTCCAACCACACAACAGAAAGATATTTAGCAAGAGAAAAACGAAATGTCAAACTAACCTCATGATTGTGTACCACAATGTATAGTGAGTTGGTACAATGGAATGATTTTTTAATTCCCATGATAAAATTACCCGGAAATTTCTTAATGTCATCTTGAAAATGCAAGCATCCTGTGAAAAATCTAAAGAAAACAGGAGAAAAAAAAAAAGAAACACTGAAATCCGAATCCAGAGATGTAGCTTGGCCACTGTCCAGGCTGTGTCTAGGGATCTGGAGCCCCCACTTATAGCAAAGTCCTCTGCAGAGCCCAGGGTTCTTGGAAACACAAGAAGGAAACCGTTTTACTGGACATGAGACATGAATGAATACAACTAATTAATGAGCAGATCAGCTCAGGAAGCAGGCGGTCAGCACTGTGTAAACTGCATCTGAATTCATCCAGTTATCAGTGGCTCTCAGTAGCTCACTGGATCAAAATCATCCAGGATGTCCTGCGCCAACCCATTCTCTCCACTCAACTTCCAACTCTTCCTGCAGGCCTCCCTAAGCAGCTCAGCCCACTGCAAGCCTTTCCTCCTATGAATTCCCCCCACTCAAATCAGTCCCCATTACAGAGGGCAGGGAGAGAATAATGCGTCCAGACCCTTTTAGGCATTAACGCCCATAACAACGCTGAAGTAGCTGCTATTCACAGACCCATTCTACAGGCCATGAAATGGAGGAGTTGAGTTATACAATGTTAGGCAGCTGGGAAGTGGCTGCAGCAAATGAGTCTCTAAAGCTCTGTTTGTTAAATCCTGCCTTACATAGTTAAAACTTTTAAGATCATCTAAGTTTCCTGTGGTTAGGACCTGGGCCTTTGCTTCTTGATTGCCAACTCTTCACTCCCCAGCTCATCACAAGGCTGGACACATGTTTAATGCATAGTGAAGTTCTGTGGACAGATTTATATATGTGGGCAAGTTTAGTTAAAAAAATTATTTTCCTTTACCTGGTACCAGGTATCGGATAACAGGTGGAAGAGTACAAATTAAAGGGAAACAGTTTCTGGGTCATGTTTGTTGGGCATAGTCTGTGTGTCTTCATGCTTCTGTTAAGGGGTTTTAAACTGGGTATTTTTTTAAGGGGTTTGAAAATGATCCCTATTGTTAACTTCTTATAATAGTTTTGTGAGACAAATGTGAAAACCAGACTTGGCTAATTTAAGCTCCTTTTACAAAGAAAGTATTTGAGAAAAAGGATTTAAACAAAATGGGCAATGGCTCTGCTGCTGAAAATGGATTCTTGGTGTTCGTCACGGGAAAGAATTCAAGGACGCACCGAGTGAAGTCAAGCGAGCAAATTTATTAGAAAAGGACAGTACGCTCTCAGGATGGCGAGAGGGCAGGCTCGGGGAAGAGCAGCTGCACTGAAGACAGGTGGGGCCTGGCAATTTATTACATAAAAAAATGAAAGAGTGGACTAGTCCGTTCTTAAGGGTGGTGAGGCAGGCATTCTTATGTGGGTCCTTGCTGACCACTCCTTCCCGTCAGGAGGGGGCATTTTTGTCCTTAGTTGGCTCTTTGGGAACTGCCTTGGCAACACAGAGGGTGAAGATTTTTCTTGGCTGCCATGTTAATAGCATTATAATCAGCTAAAGTTCGCCTTAAGGGGCAAGATGGTGCCCAGATTCTCTCTCTCCAGCCACCGCGCGCCACAGAGACCCAGTTCTGGCCGGACCGTAGAGGGCTTTTTCCTTAACTGCTATGCTGGCTGTCTTCCTTTTCTCCCCCCTCCCTCATGACCCGATTCTTCCTGCCTACAGGAACAGACCTGCGATCAGAAATCAAATTTCCCACCTTTTAGACTTCTGAACCCTTAGAGTCACCCAACACTCTGACCCTTATATTATAAAATTTAGTCAAGCTAAGAAAATCTCTTACCAGGCAAAGCTTGGAAAACACCAAACATGAGGCTGATGTACACTAGGAAGAAGAAAAAACACGTTAGACAAACAACAACGCTTTCTCTGGGCTCCGTGTATAATTGTTGCTGAGTCTGGCATTCTTTTACACACATGTATTAATATCGGACTGAGACTTTCTTGGGCTAAAAAAAAAATGCTGCAGTTAATGGTTCTTAGAGAGTTGATATTGGTCACGTGGTCCAAGGATTTAGTTCTGAGTAGATCCAAAATAAGATCTGTTTGGGAACTGACAATAATAACAAGGGTCGGCTGGCTGACGGAGGGGCCCGAGAAGCAGTTATCTGTCTGGAAAACTTCTCAGAACATGAATAAGCATGTTGCTAATTAATAAACTTTAAAGGTAAAGATATTTATCAAGGGTGGCAGAGGAAGAAAGGTGTTAGTGATGGAAGTTGGGCCTTTCATTTGCTTTCTGGATGTCACAATGAGTTGGGGGAAGTGTTGCTGGCATTTTTCCTGGGTGGAAGCCAGTGGTGTTATTTATACATTCCAATGCATGGGCAGTCATGCTCAGGGGAGAAGTGTCCCACTCATAAATGATAAGACAAATGACATAGTAATACTGAAACAGAAATCAATAAAAAGGTAGAGAAAAGCCATGAATAGGACCACAGGAAAAAACTGATAATAAACGAAGTGTGGAAACTAAAGTTCGGAGATGACTTTTCAGTCTGGTGACACTGGTAGGAAATAAGGGGTTTGGCCTCTTTCCAAATATAGGAGTAGGGTGATAAATTCCACCCTGGATCAGAATGAGGGTATTAAGAGAAGTTACCCCTCAAATTACATACAAGGATATTCCCATCATTATTGAGCCTTAAGTCATTCTTGTTTATTGTTTGTTTTCCTAAAAATAACAGTAGGGCAGAAACCCATCCTGCATCCAAACCATCAGCACAGGCATCCTATCTGGCCCGTAACATTGAGCAGGCTGACACTCGGTCCTCAATAGCGCTACTGGTGATGAAGACTTCACAGGCTTGCTTCCATAAGAGCTATGATAAAAAGTAACACTCACCCATGAGATACAAATTATGTGTTCTCATTGCCGAGGCATTCTGGCTCAAAAGCATCTTTGTTATTTTATAAGTCTTTCCTTTATTTTCACATCTGAAAGGAAATCAATATTAGGTGATCAAAATGTTGAAGTGTCTAATTAAGAGTGATTGAACACAAGACAATGAAAGATGAGCAGGAAACTCCCAGCTCCCTCTGCCCTCCTGGGAGGGAACTGGACCATTTACCCCAATGCACACGAGCAGCCTGATCTCAGCTTCTGGGACGAATCCCCTACTTGGACAGAAGAAATTTTAAATCCAACTCTTGAACAGATAACAAAGTCATTTGGTTCCAAAATTTTAAACATACAAAAAAGTAAAAATGAAAAGAAAGAAAAAAGAGAAAAATACAAAAAAGTAAATAGTGAAGAGTCTTGCTTCCTTTAGAAAACTTTTTTTTTTCTTTTTTGGTGAGTTCTTCAGAATGTCTTTATGCATAAGCAAAAACAAATCTATGTTACTTCCTCCCTGCTTTTCCCATTTAAAAATATGTTTAGGAGATCTTTCTACATCATCACCAAAGAGAATTTCCTTGTTTTTTCCTAAATAGTTGCATCGTCTATTCTACGGACATGCATCCTTTATATAATCAGTCCCTATAATGGCTATTTGAGTTATTCCCAATATTTTCTGCAATTACTTATCTTGGACATGCATCATTCTGCACATGGGCAAGTCCAAGTGAAGGCGAACTTTCCAGAAGTAGGACTGCTAGACAAAAGGGCATATCAGTCAGGATGCCAGCAGGAAACAGCTCATTCACGTAGGATGTTTTGAGAAAGTTTTTAATCGAATGTGTGAGTGGGGATATAGGCAAATCCTAAGGAAACATGTAGTACCTGGAGCTACCAAAAGTGGGGGCTGCTACCTCCCTGCGCTTGAGGTGCAGAGGGAAGGCGCCAAAACCGGACTTAGAAAGGACAGAGTCCTGTATGAGGATCTAAGATGTAAGCCAGACACAGCCAGCCCAAGGTGACTGTGCAGGGCAGGGGCTGAGGGTTAATTAAATAAGTCACCCATCACTATATTCCCTCCCTTCTCTGGGGGCTCCATGTTGGTTGAACCCAACCAGGAATCAGAGAACAAGGATGCTGGTGGCTGTACCTCCAGAAGACAGGATCCCAGGGCAAAGTAAAGGGCGGGGAAGTGGGGAGGCCGTGTCTGGAGGGGCAGACATAAGAGACCAGGTACAAAGGGCTATGCATTTGTCACTTTGATAGGAAAGGACACAGTCCTGCCCCTGTGGCTGTACCAATTTACACAACCACCTACAAGGTGTGAGAACTTTTTGCCTCCCCACAGTCTCTTCACAGAGGTTATCATCAAGCTCTTGGATTTTTAAGAAACAATCTCATAAATGAAAAAACTGTTTTCAGACTAATATTCATTTGTATTTCTCTTATCCTGAGATCGAGCATCTTTTCATATCTGTAAGAGCTATTTGTATAGCTTTCTTGTCAACTCTGTATCTTTGCCCATTTTTCTATGGAGTTGTTGCTTTTTCTTCTTTACTGACCGTTTACGGATATGTCACCTTTTTTTTCCCCTTCCTCTCCTCACTTGCCTTTAGATTTGCTTAAGCTGTTTTCTTTTTTTTTTTTTAACCACACAGCAGTTTCTTGAGTTTTACAGCAGTTTGAGTTTTGTTTTTGATTTAAAGTATTTCCTTTCTTAGCGTCTGCATTTTGCATCATAGTTAGAAAGCCTTCCTCACTTCAAGGTGAGAAAGAAATTCAAGAATTTTAAGGAGTCCCTTTCCAGTCACTCTTGGTTCTTTTCTGCCTCAGAGCTTTAGTCTCCACCTAAGCAACAGGGCTCTATAGATTCTGGGTGTTCTGTCCCCAAACACTGGGGTAGCATCAAGCCCCAAGTCAAAATGAAAAAATGACCACAAAATAGCAGACTTGAGTTCAAGCTAAAAACAAATTTATGAGTCCTCTTGACTATCACGGTGACAGATCCCACTCAGAGTGTTCTAGAGAAATCCAAAAGATTCCAAGTCAACACTGCCATTCCGGCTGCAGACTCCACGACCTATGAGATATGTGGGCACCTCTGCCCCCATTTAGAACATCGAGAGATGTCTCTGTGATATGGGAAGCCATTTCCTATTGCTACTCCTCAGCAGAGGCCTTGCATGGTTGTGGACATTACTTAGAGGCTGGGTGTCCCTAGATTGTAGGATGCCACATTGGGGGTGACTCCCTTATACTTGAATGTCTGCCCTGTGCCCTCTGGTCCCTGATTTTTCTGACAGTGGTCTATCTTCCTTCTGCATCTGCAGAACACCCCGTCCCTTCAGCAGCCAAGATAAAAAACACACACACACACAAGCTCACAATTAGAAGTCCGCTCTCCAGCACCTCCCCGTCTTTGTACTTGGTGACTCACACTCCATTTTCAACCAGATTTCTGGTAACTAACTAGACATCTGCTTGCTTAGAAAAATCAAATTTGTCTTGGCATCCTGCCTCGAATTGTTAATGAGGCGCCTCAAAACTCTCCCTGACTACAAATAGATCAGCATTCCTAGAGTCTCGCTCTTGTTACTGGCATCTGTAGCCAGGGCTAGCTCTAGTCCCCAGGGCCCTGCACGCAGAAGGGTCCCACACTTGGTTTACTTGCTCTTCTGTGGCTGTTCTCCAATTCTTGGCAACTTGACCTTCAAACTGCTCTTTTGTTAGTGAAGATTGATGGGACAATGAAACCCACACTGGGCTTGGGGCCTCAGCTCACACTCGCTCTCGCTCCCCCTCCCCCGCAGGGCGAGGGTCAAGGCCCTACCTGGCCTCTTTCTATATCCATGGCTGTTAATGCTCTTTGAGTAGGCTGGCAGCTGGATCACATTGTTGGAGAATCCCATGATGCACTGATGCCCTCCTGGTGTGTGTGCAAGGAGGGTGAGGGTCAGGCAGGATGGAAGCCATCCTTGCCCTGGGCTGGCAGTATAGCACTTCACCCAGTAAATGGCCAGAATGGTGGGGGTGAGCATCTAGGTCAGCCTTGATCCAGGTACATTGCATGTCCAGGAGCAGAGGTTTACAGATCCTGGGACTTTATCAGTATGCTGTGACTTGGGATGGCAGGTTCTTGGAAAGGGGAGACTTGACTTCCCCAGATCCCACCCCAGGCTGGGGTGTAGGGCAGCTGGCAGGAGGTAGATCCCGGCACCCTTCAGGCCTAAGTGCATGCATGCCTAGAGTCGCCAGTGCAAGGGGCCCCAGGTACATGTAGGAGCTACATTGGCCATGAGTTTCCCTGCGCATGAGTAAGTGCTCCTTGAGCTTGCTGTGTGCGGTGGTGGGGGGTGAGGGTGAGGGGCTTCTCTTTCTCCTGCTACCTTCCTGAGCCTGGTTTCACTTTGCTTCTTCTGGCTGGTTGGAGGCACCTTCCCAAGATGTGTAATTCGGTGATTCTCTATTCGAATTGATTGCTCTTGTATTTGCAGTTAGATCTGGCTTTGTACAATATAGATTGGTCAAATTTATGCAAATAATTTAAAATTTTATTTTAAATTGACATTAAATAACAAATTTAAAAACAAGCTGAGACACAAGACTATGGAAGAAAAGAAAAAATTTTATATTTTAGTACTTTCAGTGGTACTTTTACCTGGAAAATGGCATTTTCTTTTGGCCCACAGATCATTTTTATTCTATTCTGAAATCAGGATGTTTCTTTTATAAAGATTTTGTTGTTGTTATTGTTGGGCAATTGGGGGATGAGAACAGCGCTGGGGAATTGGGGGAAGGGGAACAGACAAGTTGCTGTCCTTTTGTTCTTCAGTCTAGTTGTGGAGGACATTGCTTCACT